AAATAACTTATTAGACGTCTTGTTGTGTAGCATCGCTGAGTATTTTTACTCGTTATTTGTATTTTGACTCGCCCTACGGGCTCGTCAAAATACTGCACAACTCGTAAAAATACTCTGCGATACTACACAACAAAACGTCTGATAAGATATATATATATATATATTGCATAGATAAGGCAACCTAGTTTACTAGCCAATACCGCAATATTAGACCTATCATAGACTGAAACGAGATCTATATATATATATATATATTGCATAGATAAGGCAACCTAGTTTACTAGCCAATACCGCAATATTAGACCTATCATAGACTGAAACGAGATCAAGAACTTTTTGATGTGTATAGGATTATTTTTTATACGTGAACGATTGATTAGTCAATTTGGAGGGAGAAAAAGAGGCTTCTTTTGTCTAGAGTTGCGTTTGTACTGATCTTAACAACTCTTAAACGCTTTTCCACAAAGGCGAGCTTGGTAATCCCCACGTTTTATTTATTACCATTATCTCCTGAAACTGTTACATGAGAGTGAACTCTTTAATGGAAACCTTTACAACTCATAACAAAAGGAAACTACCATAACTGCTTCTCATTACTGTTAAATCCAAACTTACAGTTACCCAAAGTGGTCTATGTAATGGTGATGTTTGATTCGTTGTCAATAAAACGAACGCCAACTTTGTTGCGTCGGCATCTTTTAAACAGCGCTCCCATATGGCGGCGGAACTGGTGGCTCTGCAAGCTGTAAATCACCGGATTGACGGCGGAGTTTACAGAAACCATCAGCACCGATGCGGTGCGAATCTCACTGAACAACTGCTTGTTTGAGAAGGCCACGTAGATGTAGGCAAAACCATTTGGGAACCAATAAACGCAGTAGATCAAACTCTCTGTGATCACCATCTTGGTGGTGTGGCTTCGGTGCTTCAGTATCGCTCTTTGAGACACAGATGCGTTGGCATCTTTGTTTTTGAACCATAGTTGATAAATAAGAAGAGTGTAGAGCACTCCCATGATCAGGGCAGGCAAACCAAAGAATATGTGGCCGTTAATTACGCTGTGATATTTTATAAAATTTGGCGTCGGCCACACTGGGGCACAGCCTTTGGTACTCTCGATGTACTCGGAGTACATAAAGTTTGGTGGGTTTACCATGAAGGCGAACACCCAGCAGACTGGAATGACGAACTTGAGCTTTTTGAAAATGAGCCTCTTTGTTTCACTGTAGGGGAAGTTGATGGCCAGATATCTCTCAATCGTTACACAGACCAGATTGAAGTCTGTAGCCAATGCTCCTGGCCAGGCAAGGGACTCTCCCGTGAAGATTTTGCAGACGTAGTCACTAACAGTTCCCTCGGGGTGATTCAGCGTGCGGCTGAAGACGAACTTCGGAGACATAAAGATTGCAACCATCATGTCACTGATTGCAAGATTTACCAACAGATAATTCATTGGAATACGCATGTCTCGAAATGTCAGCACCACATAGCAGACGAGAATGTTGCCCAACAGATTAAGGAGACTCGAAAACGTGAAAGCGACGATGAAACTATCTCTTGAGTAGCTTTCCTCAGCCATGTCCTGAAGAAGGATAAAAACTACTTTGAAGCGATTTTTTATAAAACGAAGGTACATATTCCGGCTAAATTTTGAATGATGTAACTCTGTTTACGCGTACTATAGGAAAATGGTCTACGCTTGCCTCACAAAGAAATGAAAAAAAAAATTAAAAAAGAATTAAAAGAAGAAAAAAAGGGAATCTGATGATGTTTCTTTATGAAATAAAGAATTGCCACGACGATTATCCAGATATTTTTATCAGCTTAATGACTGTTTTCACGTTTCGGTACGGTGCGTGATACTGTAAAATATTTGAAGACGATAGTGATTTTTGTAGCGACACCACTTAAGAAGTAGAGAAAGTAAAGACTAAAATAAACCCAGGCTTATAGGGGAGTTGAACCCATGACCTTTGCGAAACTGGTGCAGTGCTCCACCAAATGAATAAAGGCTGATAGTTTCTCTACCAAATGAGTTGCCGAGGCAACTGGGAGCCGCCGTGTTCCTGGGTAGCCATGAATCGATTTAAAGACTGTGACGATATCAGTATCAACCCATCACTGTTAAATATAAAAGTTTGAATGACCGTGGCATGTCTTCATTCAAACACGTCACGATGTAAATTTAGGTTTGCCTTTTTCTTTCGTTTGCTCAAGTTTACCCTGGTAATTCGGAATTACTTTACGATGAAGAACAGATAGGGAATACCAAATCTGTGGGCAGTCTTCTTCTTCTTGTCGTTTCGGTATTAAACGAGAGAAGATTAACGCTACAGAAGTAGAAAATGTGAATGCTAACTGTATTCATAATGAACGTGGACTGCAGTTTGACAGCTTACTGAAAGTCATTCCTCTCAAACTACCAACGGAAAAAAATATGTTCGCAAGATCTCGACGACAACTCTTGCCAATGTTTGCCAAAAATTCTGATGCAAATTATTTTAAGTGTATCTGGCTTGTGAAAGTTGGTGCTCAATAGAACATTGTTCCCTTTTCTTTACAGATACCTGAAAATCTACTGATGTATGAAGAATTATCTATTTACCAATCCTGAGAGTAAAAGGTTAAAAATCCAAAATAAACAGCTCAATCCCAAGGGAAATTGTCGAAAAAAATAACTCTTTTAGGTAAAGTAGCGCTCAAGTCAGTATTTGAATGTGTCTTAATCAGATATAATTTTATCCCCTACCAGGCCGACATTTATGAACAAATGAAAAGGAAGAGCGCTAAAACGAGCTAGAACTGCTCAGATATTTTTATTTTTATGCTTCGTGTACTCATTGGGCGCTGTTAACGACTTAAGAAATAAAGCTTTTCGAACACCGAGCCCAATTTTCAGTTAAACAGGTTTTCCCGTCTTGTCATAAAGTGAGGTTGAGCTTCGTAGCTTTTGCGATACACTACATCAAATTGGTGGCCGAAATTGCTGTCACGTAAGTTAAAAAATTTGACTTGCCCGCTGAGATTTCGCGATCTGAACAGTCCTTGTATGAGAATAAGTACTCATATAGATGTTTATGAGCCCCAAGAGGACGACTGCAGGCTTTTTCTAGCAAAACTCGATGAAACATCAACAGACCTGAATCTTTGTGAGACTGTTTGAATATTCATCTTCTTTTATCTTTTTGATTCTTGACGTTATCTTTTTGAACGGTTTTGACGAGTGGTGTGGCAGTGAAACCGGCAATATATTGTGATAATGTACCAAGCTCTGCGATACATCAACAATACATATCGTATAAAATGAATATATGAAGCTCATATATTTTTGAACTGCGGTGTTAGATACGTATGATGCACGATCCTCGCAGTAGATAGCGCTATTTAGGCAATAGCGAAAATCAGACCTGAAAAAAATCAGGCCTGTACGGGACTCGAACCACTGACCTCTGCGATACTAGTGCAGCGCTCTACCAATTGAGCTAACAAGCCAACTGGGAGCAGGCCGTTAAGTTGATTCGTAATAAACCCGTGAAAGTGATAAATGAGATACAATGAATATATGAAGATCATATATTTTGAACTGCGGTATTAGATACGTATGATGCACGATCCTCGCAGTAGATAGCGCTATTTAAGCAATAGCGAAAATCAGACCTGAAAAAAATCAGGCCTGTACGGGACTCGAACCACTGACCTCTGCGATACTAGTGCAGCGCTCTACCAATTGAGCTAACAAGCCAACTGGGAGCAGGCCGTTAAGTTGATTCGTAATAAACCCGTGAAAGTGATAAATGAGATACAATGAATATATGAAGATCATATATTTTGAACTGCGGTATTAGATACGTATGATGCACGATCCTCGCAGTAGATAGCGCTATTTAAGCAATAGCGAAAATCAGACCTGAAAAAAATCAGGCCTGTACGGGACTCGAACCACTGACCTCTGCGATACTAGTGCAGCGCTCTACCAATTGAGCTAACAAGCCAACTGGGAGCAGGCCGTTAAGTTGATTCGTAATAAACCCGTGAAAGTGATAAATGAGATACAATGAATATATGAAGATCATATATTTTGAACTGCGGTATTAGATACGTATGATGCACGATCCTCGCAGTAGATAGCGCTATTTAAGCAATAGCGAAAATCAGACCTGAAAAAAATCAGGCCTGTACGGGACTCGAACCACTGACCTCTGCGATACTAGTGCAGCGCTCTACCAATTGAGCTAACAAGCCAACTGGGAGCAGGCCGTTAAGTTGATTCGTAATAAACCCGTGAAAGTGATAAATGAGATACAATGAATATATGAAGATCATATATTTTGAACTGCGGTATTAGATACGTATGATGCACGATCCTCGCAGTAGATAGCGCTATTTAAGCAATAGCGAAAATCAGACCTGAAAAAAATCAGGCCTGTACGGGACTCGAACCACTGACCTCTGCGATACTAGTGCAGCGCTCTACCAATTGAGCTAACAAGCCAACTGGGAGCAGGCCGTTAAGTTGATTCGTAATAAACCCGTGAAAGTGATAAATGAGATACAATGAATATATGAAGATCATATATTTTGAACTGCGGTATTAGATACGTATGATGCACGATCCTCGCAGTAGATAGCGCTATTTAAGCAATAGCGAAAATCAGACCTGAAAAAAATCAGGCCTGTACGGGACTCGAACCACTGACCTCTGCGATACTAGTGCAGCGCTCTACCAATTGAGCTAACAAGCCAACTGGGAGCAGGCCGTTAAGTTGATTCGTAATAAACCCGTGAAAGTGATAAATGAGATACAATGAATATATGAAGATCATATATTTTGAACTGCGGTATTAGATACGTATGATGCACGATCCTCGCAGTAGATAGCGCTATTTAAGCAATAGCGAAAATCAGACCTGAAAAAAATCAGGCCTGTACGGGACTCGAACCACTGACCTCTGCGATACTAGTGCAGCGCTCTACCAATTGAGCTAACAAGCCAACTGGGAGCAGNCATACGTATGAGGCACGATCCTCGCAGTAGATAGCGCTATTTAAGCAATAGCGAAAATCAGACCTGAAAAAAATCAGGCCTGTACGGGACTCGAACCACTGACCTCTGCGATACTAGTGCAGCGCTCTACCAGTTGGCTTGTTAGCTCAATTGGTAGAGCGCTGCACTAGTATTGCAGAGGTCAGTGGTTCGAGTCCCGTACAGGCCTGATTTTTTTCAGGTCTGATTTTCGCTATTGCTTAAATAGCGCTATCTACTGCGAGGATCGTGCATCATACGTATCTAATACCGCAGTTCAAAATATATGATCTTCATATATTCATTGTATCTCATTTATCACTTTCACGGGTTTATTACGAATCAACTTAACGGCCTGCTCCCAGTTGGCTTGTTAGCTCAATTGGTAGAGCGCTGCACTAGTATCGCAGAGGTCAGTGGTTCGAGTCCCGTACAGGCCTGATTTTTTTCAGGTCTGATTTTCGCTATTGCTTAAATAGCGCTATCTACTGCGAGGATCGTGCATCATACGTATCTAATACCGCAGTTCAAAATATATGATCTTCATATATTCATTGTATTCCTAAGGTTTGCAGCAAAACAGTGCTTGATAGCTGACTCTTATAAAAGTGAGAAACAGTCCCATCTTGGACCGCCGTGATTCTGTTCCTTCACAAATCCGCTGGCAAGACCCTTCCTAATCGTTTTGCAAGTTGTGAGAACATGTTTGGATTTCATTTAAGAGAATGTATGGGAATTACCTCCCCCCTTTGGCTAATAGTTTCCTTCTAAATAATATTATAAGGCAAAATGATACACACTTCATTACATAATAACTGTATTTATTTGAAAAATTGTCCTGGGGCACATTTCTCTAAAGGCCTCACAAACTTTTGTTCCCCGAGCAAAATTTCAATATTTAAACCTGTTGAATAGGAACACAGTTTCTGGGCCATCAACAAGTCAACTTTACTTTTTTATCTGATAATTTCATTGTATTATTTTCAAAATTACTGGAGCTTTGATCTTGAATGAAAACACAGCAAACGCAAAACAGCTTTTTGAGCCTGAAAAGTCACGAGAACTTTCGAGAAACAGACCCTTTGGTGCTTATTCTGTACTTTAAGGTGGCACACTCAAAAGTGCAGTATAACCCAACATTTCTGTATTTTTAAATTCTTTATATGATCGTAGACAGTAGTCTGTACTTTAAGATGGCACACCCAAAAGTGAAGTATAACCCAGCATTTCTGTATTTTTAAATTCTTTATGTGATCGTAGTCAGTAGTCTGTACTTTAAGGTGGCACACCCAAAAGTGCAGTATAACCCAGCATTTTTGTATTTTTACACTCTTTCTATGATCTTATTTAGTAGGCTGTACTTTAAGGTGGCACACCCAAAAGTGGAGTATAACCCAGCATTTTTGTATTTTTACACTCGTTCTATGATCTTATTTAGTAGGCGGTGCTTTAAGGTGGCACACCCAAAAGTACTGTACAACCCAGCATTTTTTTATAACCCAAGCACTTCTTGTTTTGACTTCAATACTTGCAACGGAAGAATAGTCTCTCATTCA